GGGAACCGGTCTAGCTCCCGACAGAGGGAATGGCAGCCTCTCACACCAGACACCAGTCCAGGGTAACTCCTGTATTCGACAGAGGTTCCAGACGGCACCAGTCTAGCTCCCCACAGAGGGAATGGCAGCCTCTCATATCTACAGACACCAGTCCAGGGTAACTCCTGTATTCGAAAGAGGTTCCAGACGGCACCAGTCTAGCTCCCGACAGAGGGAATGGCAGCCTCTCATATCTACAGACACCAGTCCAGGGTAACTCCTGTATTCGACAGAGGTTCCAGACGGAACCAGTCCAGCTCCAGACAGAGGGAATGGCAGCCTCCTTACATACTGCATCTGTGTATGGTACACCAGCTGCACAGTGGCTCAGAGGAAAGCGCTGCAAAGGGTCATCAACACCGCCCAAAAAAATCGCCGGGTGCTCTCACCCCATGAAAGAACTACACAATTCCCGTTGCATCGAAAAAGCGAAGAACATTATAAAGGACTCTTCTCACCCTGCACACTCTCTGTTTGAGCTGTTGCCATCAGACAGGCGATTCAGATCAGACAAAACAAGGACAAACAGATTCAAACACAGCTTTAATCCTACAGCAATTACCACACTCAATACTGCTAATTATTTATTAAGTAATACTGTTTACAATTGACTGTAAAATAGGGATGTGCAATGATAAAATGTACTTTTACGTGGGTATACTTGGGTAGTTTTTACATATGAAATTTATTGATTATCTTCTATTTTATCTTATTTTTATTTCCTGTTTTATTTATTTAAATTTATGAATGATGTACTGACTGGTGAGCACTTTAAATTTCGTTGTACTGGTGACAATGACAATAAAGGATCTATCTAGACTCTCACACCAGACACCAGTCCAGGGTAACTCCTGTATTCGACAGAGGTTCCAGACGGCACCAGTCCAGCACCCGATAGAGGAAATGGCAGCCTCTCACACCAGACACCAGTACAGGCGAACTCCTGTATTCGACAGAGGTTCCAGTCGGCACCAGTCTAGCTCCCGACAGAGGGAATGGTAGCCTCTCACACCAGACACCAGTCCAGGTGAACTCCTGTATTCGACAGGGGGTCCAGACGGCACCAGTCCAACCCCGGACAGAGGGAATGGCAGCCTCTCACACCAGAACCCAGTCCAGGCGAACTCCTGTATTCGACAGGGGTTCCAGTGGGCACCAGTTTAGCTCTCGACAGAGGGAATGGCAGCCTCTCCTATATACAGACACTAGTCCAGGCGAACTCCTGTATTCGACAGGGGTTCCAGACAGCACCAGTCCAACTCCCGACAGAGGGAATGGCAGCCTCTCACACCAGAACCCAGTCCAGGCGAACTCCTGTATTCGACAGGGGTTCCAGTCGGCACCGGGCCAGCTCCCGACAGAGGGAATGGCAGCCTCTCCTATCTACAGACACCAGTCCAGGGTAACTCCTGTATTCGACAGGGGTTCCAGTCGGAACCGGTCTAACTCCCGACAGAGGGAATGGCAGCCTCTCACACCTGACACCAGTCCAGGGTAACTCCTGTATTCGACAGAGGTTCCAGACGGCACCAGTCTAGCTCACGACAGAGGGAATGGTAGCCTCTCACACCAGACACCAGTCCAGGCGAACTCCTGTATTCGACAGGGGTTCCAGTCGGCACTAGTTTAGCTCTCGACAGAGGGAATGGCAGCCTCTCCTATCTACAGACACCAGTCCAAGGCGAACTCCTGTATTCGACAGGGGTTCCAGACGGCACCAGTCCAACTCCCGACAGAGGGAATGGCAGCCTCTCCTATCTACAGACACCAATCCAGGGTAACTCCTGTATTCGACAGGGGTTCCAGTCGGAACCGGTCCAGCTCCCGACAGAGGGAATGGCAGCCTCTCATATCTACAGACACCAGTCCAGGGTAACTCCTGAATTCGACAGAGGTTCCAGACGGAACCAGTCTAGCTCCAGGCAGAGGGAATGGCAGCCTCTCACACCGACACCAGTCCAGGGTAACTCCTGTATTCGACAGGGGTTCCAGTCAGCACCGGTCTAGCTCCTGACAGAAGGAATGGCAGCCTCTCCTATCTACAGACACCAGTCCAGGGTAACTCCTGTATTCGACAGGGGTTCCAGACGGCACCAGTCTAGCTCCCGACAGAAGGAATGGTAGCCTCTCACACCAGACACCAGTCCAGGGTAACTCCTGTATTCGACAGGGGTTCCAGACGGAACAAGTCCAGCCCCCGAGAGAGGGAATGGCAGCCTCTCCTATCTACAGACACCAGTCCAGGCGAACTCCAGTATTCGACGGAGGTTCCAGTCGGCACCGGTCCAGCTCCCGACAGAGGGAATGGCAGCCTCTCCTATCTACAGACACCAGTCCAGGGGAACTCCTGTATTCGACGGAGATTCCAGTCGTCACCGGTCCAGCTCCCGACAGAGGGAATGGCAGCCTCTCCTATCTACAGACACCAGTCAAGGGTAACTCCTGTGTTCGACAGAGGTTCCAATCAGCCCCAGTCCAGCTCCAGACAGAGGGAATGGCAGCCTCTCCTATCTACAGACACCAGTCCAGGGTAAGTCCTGTATTCGACAGGGGTTCCAGTCGGCACCGGTCCAGCTCCCGACAGAGGGAATGGCAGCCTCTCACACCAGAAACCAGTCCAGGGGAACTCCTTTATTCGACAGGGGTTCCAGACGGCACCGGTCCAGCTCCCGACAGAGGGAATGGCAGCCTCTCCTATCTAAAGACACCAGTCCAGGCGAACTCCTGTATTCGACAGAGGTTCCAGTCGGCACCAGTCCAGCTCTCGACAGAGGGAATGGCAGCCTCTCCTATCTACAGACACCAGTCCAGGCGAACTCCTGTATTCGACAGGGGTTCCAGACGGCACCAGTCCAGCTCCAGACAGAGGGAATGGCAGCCTCTCCTATCTACAGACACCAGTCCAGGGTAACTTCTGTATTCGACAGGGGTTCCAGTCGGCACCGGTCCAGCTTCCGACAGAGGGAATGGCAGCCTCTCCTATCTACAGACACCAGTCCAGGGGAACTCCTGTATTCGACGGAGGTTCCAGTCGGCACCGGTCCAGCTCCCGACAGAGGGAATGGCAGCCTCTCCTATCTACAGACACCAGTCCAGGGTAACTCCTGTATTCGACAGGGGTTCCAGTCGGCACCGGTCCAGCTCCCGACAGAGGGAATGGCAGCCTCTCACACCAGAAACCAGTCCAGGGGAACTCCTGTATTCGACAGGGGTTCCAGACGGCACCGGTCCAGCTCCCGACAGAGGGAATGGCAGCCTCTCCTATCTACAGACACCAGTCCAGGCGAACTCCTGTATTCGACAGGGGTTCCAGACGGCACCAGTCCAGCTCCCGACAGAGGGAATGGCAGCCTCTCATATCCACAGACACCAGAACCCAGTCCCAAAGGACATTCTGTATTCAACAGAGGCCTTCGCAGGCACTGGTCGAGCTGTCGAAGAATGGAAGCCTCTCCCCTCTCCGTACACACCAGAAGCATTTCGCAAGCCCTCGTGCATTCGACGGAAGGGTCCAAGAAGGCACCAATGGAGCTACCGACGGAGGAATGGCGGCCCTCTAATCTCCACAAACACACCAGGTGAATTTTGACTTAAAGCTTTCGTGTGAGTGCAGGCATTCACATTCTTGGTTCTAGAAATAGGTTTTAGCCTTTTAACTGGCACAAAAAACTGACACCTTCATTCAAGGCATCATGTTTGCAATAACCACAACACAAGCAGTCAAAATGCAAACAAAAGAGACAACTCTGATAATAATATTGGCACTGTCCTTGAATTTGATTGGTCCACACCCGAGACGGCTTTTCTTAGAGCCCTTTAGTCTCCACTGGTGTTGGAGCAGAAGACGCCAAAAGGCGTACAAACTCAAAAACAGCGCACTATCAGAGTATTGAGGGCTCAGGGTGAGCATTAACATTATGAGACCTCCTTTGCCAGTAACAATATATAGAAATGGGTTTTACCCTTTTAACTGGCACAAAAACTGACACCTTTATTCAAGGCATCGTGTTTGCAATAACCACAACACAAGCAGTCAAAATGCAAACATGATGCCTTGAATAAAGGTGTCAGTTTCTGTGCCAGTTAAAAGGGTAAAAGCTATTTCTATATCTTGTTACTGGCAAAGGAGGTCTCATAATTCTTGGTCCTTTCGGTAAAGTCACCACCACCACCACATTTTAATTATTATTCTGCGTCCCTTCTACGCGGCGACGGGCACCAGAATGGAGTCCAGTGGAACTGCTCCTGCATTCGACGGAAGGGGTTCCAAGAAATCACCAAATCGAGCTGCACAAACACACCAGAGGACCAGTCCCCACCGGACCTCCTGAATTCCAGAGACCCTCGGTCACCCCCCCCCATCGACCACCACCTCTCATCCTCCCTCTCCCTCTAACCCAGACGTGGGCAAAGTACGGCCCGTTCGGCTTTTTAATCCGGCCCGCCAAACTTTTCCAAGTATTATTATTATTGAATTAAATTAAATTTTAACCTTTCCCCTGTAATGCCCCCCCCCCTCCAATTCGTTAAATTGCCTTGCAAATAAACGCTTTGCTACCTGTTAAAAGGCCAAATCCTCTCATGTAATGATTTTTTTTTTTTTTACACACGCCGTTTGTATATTTCGTTCACGCAAACGCTCCGTCCGTCCGTTTCCCTGGCCCGGCCCCCCCTCCATCAAATTTTAGAACCCCATTGTGGCCCCGTGAGTCAAAACATTTGCCCACCCCCTTGCACCTAACCCCCCCCTCTCTCTCTCTCTCTCTCCCCCACCGCCGCCATTCTCCATCCCCTCGGCGACTTCTCACCGGCGTGGGTCCCTTTGCTCGCTCCGGTCCCCACCCAGAGCCACGCCGAGTGGTGGTGGCGCCGGCGGTGGCGGCGTCTCCTCCTCGCCGCGCTCCTAACCTCCTCCTCCTCCTCCACCTCCTCCTCCACCTCCTCCTCCTCCTCCTCCTCACCCTCCGTCGCTGCCACCCTTCCCCGTCTCTTTCCCCCGTCGGCCGCCGGCAGCGTTCCTCCTCCTCCACCTCCTCCGCCTCCGCCGCCGCCGCCGCCGCCGCCGCCGCTCCCGCTCCTCATCAACATCCTCCTCCTCCTCCCGCCGCCGCTGCCGCTCGAGTCGACCCTCGTCGCCCCCGCTGCTCCGCCCAGCCCCACGGCGCCAGAGATCCTGCCGGCCACCAACATGGGCTCCAGGCGGGGCATCGCAGGGTCTCCGTCTCCGCCGCTGCCGCCTCCACCACCTCCTCCGCCTCCGCCGCCTCCACCGCCTCCACCGCCTCTTCCTCCTCCGCCGCCGCCTTCCCGCCTACCGCTGGGGACGTGTCTACCGTCCTCCTCCTCTTCTTCGTCCTCCTCCTCCTCGTCGTCCTCCTCCTCCTCCTCCTCCTCATCGTCGTCGTCGTCGTCGTCCTCCTGCCGGAGGTCGTACGCCTCCAGCACCGTCTTCTGCGAGATGGTCTCCGTGGTGACGCCGCTGCTGTTGTGACGGCGGCGACGCTTCCGGCGGGTTTCTCCCCGCGCCCCTCCGCCTCCCAGAGCTCCGCCGGGACCTCCTCCTGCTCCTGAGCATCCGACGACGACGCCGCCGACGCCGACGTTGCCGCCGGGAGCTCCACCGGCGCGGTGGCACGCGGCGAACGAGGAGGCGGAGACGGACGACGTGGTCCAGCGTCGGCGAGAGACCAAGGCTGGGCTGGAGGACGAGGCCTGGGAGGGCGGGAGGGGGGGGGGCGGAAGAGAGAGGGAGACGCGGGAGGGGGAGACGCGGGGAGAGAGGGGGAGACACAAGGAGATGAGAAGAAACAAAATTGACGAGGGTGAGAAATCAACGAGGTGGCCCCAAGTCTCCCGAGTCTCCCCAGTGTCTCTTAGTCTCTCCCCAGTGTCTCTGAGTCTCCCAGTGTCTCTGTGTCTCTCCCAGTGTCTCTGTGTCTCCCAGTGTCTCTGTGTCTCCCAGTGTCTCTGTGTCTCTCCCAGTGTCTCTGTGTCTCCCAGTGTCTCTGTGTCTCCCCCAGTGTCTCTGTGTCTCCCAGTGTCTCTGTGTCTCTCCCAGTGTCTCTGTGTCTCCCAGTGTCTCTGTGTCTCCCAGTGTCTCTGAGTCTCCCAGTGTCTCCCCAGTGTCTCTGTGTCTCCCAATGTCTCCGAGTGTCTCCCAGTGTCTCTGAGTCTCCCAGTGTCTCCCCAGTGTCTCTGAGTCTCCCAGTGTCTCCCCAGTGTCTCTGAGTCTCCCAGTGTCTCCCAGTGTCTCTGAGTCTCCCAGTGTCTCCCAGTGTCTCCCCAGTGTCTCCCAGTGTCTCTGTGTCTCCCCCCAGTGTCTCTGTGTCTCCCAGTGTCTCTGTGTCTCCCCCCAGTGTCTCTGAGTCTCCCCAGTGTCTCTGTCTCCCAGTGTCTCTGTGTCTCCCAGTGTCTCTGTGTCTCCCCAGTGTCTCCCAGTGTCTCTGTGTCTCCCCCCAGTGTCTCTGTGTCTCCCAGTGTCTCTGTGTCTCCCCCCAGTGTCTCTGAGTCTCCCCAGTGTCTCTGTCTCCCAGTGTCTCTGTGTCTCCCAGTGTCTCTGTGTCTCCCAGTGTCTCTGTGTCTCCCCCCGGTGTCTCTGTGTCTCCCAGTGTCTCTGTGTCTCCCAGTGTCTCTGAGTCTCCCAGTGTCTCTGTGTCTCCCAGTGTCTCTGAGTCCCTCAGTGTCTGTCTCCCAGTGTCTCTGAGTCTCCCCAGTGTCTCTGTCTCCCAGTGTCTCTGTGTCTCCCAGTGTCTCTGTGTCTCCCAGTGTCTCTGTGTCTCCCCCCGGTGTCTCTGTGTCTCCCAGTGTCTCTGTGTCTCCCAGTGTCTCTGAGTCTCCCAGTGTCTCTGTGTCTCCCAGTGTCTCTGAGTCCCTCAGTGTCTGTCTCCCAGTGTCTCTGTGTCTCCCAGTGTCTCTGAGTCTCCCCAGTGTCTCTGTGTCTCTCCCCAGTGTCTCTGAGTCTCCCAGTGTCTCTGAGTCTCCCCAGTGTCTCTGAGTCTCCCAGTGTCTCTGTGTCTCCCAGTGTCTCTGAGTCTCTCCCCAGTGTCTCTGAGTCTCCCAGTGTCTCTGAGTCTCCCCAGTGTCTCTGTGTCTCCCAGTGTCTGTGTCTCCCAGTGTCTCTGAGTCTCTCCCCAGTGTCTCTGAGTCTCCCAGTGTCTCTGTGTCTCCCCAGTGTCTCCCAGTGTCTCTGAGTCTCCCAGTGTCTCTGAGTCTCCCCAGTGTCTCTGTGTCTCCC